TGACAGGTGCTTGGAGGTCTTAGTTCATTTGAACACCCCGAGTCTAAGGGTGCCAGACAAAGCCCCCCAGCTCCCAGGGTCGGCGGCATCTAGTACCCCAAGTCAAACTCAATTCATCTCATACCATTCACCGTCTGTGTTGCTGACTCCCCTGGTCCCCGGGGAGTCCGGTTATGCCGGCCCCCGGGGAGTTCACGGTCCTGCCGCGGTCCAGCCACGACAGGATCCAGGGGGCCCCGAAGGTGGGCAAGGCGTCGGCGCGGGAGACAGTCGACTCCACAGCTCAGAGGCGGTATGACACTGTTCCGTTTTATTGTGATTTGAGTACAACTTTTATACTTTTTATTTTGGCATTTGATTATACTTTGTGGTTAAGGTAGCAGGGAGTTAAATTTCCGTGGTTAGGCGAAGCAGAAAATCTTATAGAGTATATTATTGTTAATGTTCATGATTAACTAGTACATTTTTCTCTCAATCATTAGAACAGAACTACCTGATGGAACAATCTAAACTTTTAATTCTTATATCTATTACGTAAGATACAGTTTGATTTAAGTACAGGTGATAGATAGATGTATTCATAACAGCAAGCATTGGCTTGTGGGCAGACATTGTTCTTCTTTCTGCCTGAAGAAATCTTTTAAATGCTATTTGATTTATGCTATATCTAAAGTTCAAGCTGAACCTTTCTCATAGCTGTTCAAAAGTTTCCTTGGTGCAGTAATGAGGAAAATATTTATAAAAATCAGTTTTACAAAGCTGCTTTCATAAGCTAAGTTTCTGTTCCTTTGTTTTTTAAGCACCAAGGAGATCCTGACCTAGCCAGCCTTTCTATGAAACTTAAACTACTATAAGGCACATGAATTCTATCTTTATTCACTATACGTATACTATCTTTATTATAAGCTTCTGTATAAGGCAAAGGAAGATCAGGTAATCTTTTCATACTATTAGCCCCGCTAGGTGGATACCAGAATTTTCCATTTATCCAGTAGGCCACAAAAGGAGGCCCTTCTATAGTAGGCACAGGCTTATGAGTAAATTTCTTATCCTTTACTAATTTTTCTACTAACTGCGTGGGAACAGGAGTATAAGCTGGTTCTGGTAATTCAGCTTGTTATAATTTATTCATAATATCTTTAAGAGGCGTGTCAAAAGGAATTTCCCTTAATAATTGTTCAAATAAAGGGTTTACGCATTCTGGACACGTCAGGGTGACCAGAGCTGATTCCATACGCGGGGAATTTACTATGTTTTCCTCGGAGCCAATTTTGAGGAAATCCATTTGTACAGCATTTACACTTACTAGAATTTGTGCTACCCAAACTCCCCTATTAATAAGATCGTTCCTAAGAAACCAATTATCCCTAAACACATGCCACGTCCTCGTTCTTGATGATGCGTTCCTTGAAGCCTCTGTCCCCATCCCCGGACCTTGTCACCCAGTAGGGTAGAAAGAGGACGTGGCACGGTCCCATGGAGAGGACAGATGATTTCCGGAAGTGAATTCCGCCGTGATGTGGGGAATGATGACAGCGTCCTCGGAGCCAGGAAAACAGCCGTGGGTAGGCGACTTTGAGGGGCTCGGTGGGAGTGCGGTGCGCACCCGTGTCCCTTCTGCCGAGGACAGGATGGTTTCTGGTGTCAGGCACGAGCCTGTCCCGCGAGGCCAGGTCCCGGGCGTGATCCCCAAGCAACCGGGACAGAGTTGGGGATGGAGAAATGCCTCAGCCGCCTCGTGCCCTCGGGCAGCTCCGCGGAGGGCTCTGCCCGGAGTCTTGGCAGAGCCCGGAGGGGCCAACCCTCTCGTCACAGTCCCTGTCCCCCGCTCCACCCTCGCCAACCAAACCAGCTGTCCACACGTAGCGTCTCGTCTTAGGGTGGCTTAGGAGGGAAGCAAACTCAGCCGCGAACGTCCACGTACTCGGAAAATCGATAAGGGTGCGTTACGTTCATTTAATTGAAAAATTAATAAGGGCACATTTTTAAGTGAAAAAATACGATCCTAGGATCAGTGCTCCGTGATGCGTCTCACTGTGTCACAGAGCCCGATTTGCTGACTGCGATCCTCGGGCAATAACAACACATTTGGAGCGAGGTTTTTCTGACATTTAAAAACTTTTTTTCAGTTTCGGCTTTTATTTTTTTCAGTTACAGTTGGCATTCGGCATTGTACTGGTTTCACGCGTACAGCAGCGTGGTGAGACATGTACGTACCTTACGAAGTGATCCCGCGGCATGTCTGGTGCCCGCCTGGCACCATACGTGGTCATCGCAGTGTTTCTGACCGTTTTCCCTGTGCTGTACTTGATCAGGGGTCCCCACCCTTTGTGGCACCAGAGACCGGGGCTCCTATGAGAACCTGATGCCTGATGATCCGAGGCGGAGCCGAGGCGGTGACGCTGGCGCTGGGGAGCGGCTGCAGACACAGACGAAGCTTTGCTGCCTCCCTGTCCACTCACCTCCTGCCATGCGGCCCGGTTCCTAGCAGGCCACAGACCGGCCTAGGTCCACAGCCCGGGGGTTGGGGACCCCTGCGTTACATCCCTGTGACTGTTTTGTAACTACCAATTTGTACTACTTAAGACATTTAAAACCTTGTTTCTAAATTACTTTGCCCTACAAAATCAGCTGGAAAAACACGCGGGAGCTGCAGGTGGCGGAAAGCAGGTGCCTGCAAGAGTCCATGGGACGTTCAAGATCTGTGGGTCCCGCGTGTCCTCCCAGCCCCCAGCGCCATGCCCACCTAGGGGTGTTCCCCTTTCCTGCTGTCTGTGTCAGGACAGCTAAGTCCGTGGTCCCAGGAGTCGGCCAGGGAGCGCTGGCGTCCGTCAAGGCCACGGGGGACGACCCTCGGGCCCCTCCTAGGAGCGCAGGCCCAGACGCGTGGGAGGCTTGGGGATTCAGCGCGGGCTCTGCTGGCGCTGCCGTGGGAATTTCAGTGCCGCCCGCTCTGCTCCATCGTTGGAGTGGGCGGCGGCGGCGGGCGCAGCATCAGTAGGATGACGCTTGGTGCCGAGTGCAGTGGCTCCGCGCTTCTAACTACCGCGTGGCCGACCTAGACTACGGTGGCCCCTGCGTGTCCTCTGGAAACACCCCTGAGAGGGACGTGAGCACCGGGCAGATGGAGACATGGGGGAGAGGGTGTCTGCCCGACGTGCGACACGGGGTCTCGGGGTGGCATGAGCTGCTGTGGAAGCAGACGGGGCGACGTTCCTTGACAGAGTCACAAATGAGCGGAGACCACCGCTGGTTTCCGTGAGGCTCCCCGGGGGGTCCCCTATGGGGGGTGGGGAAGATAACGGGAAACTATCCCGTGGGGCCTTTGCTTTCCGTGTAGAGCGGGGCTGCATTTGGGTGCTCGTCCTGTTCCTGCCCCGCTCCCCAGAGTCCAAAGGCAGCCCCACTACGGAGGTCCTTGGGCTCGCCAGGTGACTTTCAGTGGGTTGGGGACCCTTTTCTTCCCGCACGACTGCAGCCTCCACGTCCGCTTTTGCCTAAGCCCCCCAGCACGGCAGGGAGCTTATCTCAGGAGTTTCCTGCTCGTCCCCTAGGACAGAGGCCGACCTCTGCTCAGCATCCGCCAGGGACAGGACGCGTGGCTCCGGGTGGATGATCTACTTCCTTGCCTCAGCATCAATTTAGGGCAAAGATCATCGTCTACGACTCGTCCTCTCTCTGGGTCCCAAAGTGTGAAGGAAAAAGACGGGCCATTCGGCAGATCCGGGGCAAGGCAGGATGAGGGGGTCACAGCCTTGAAACCTGTTTTGAAACAAGTCAGGATTCAGACACCGGCAAGTGTGTGGTGGAATCTTTAACGGCAGTATTTATTCAAAACCTATCTCAGTGGCGGGGGCGGGGAGGGGGAACGTTTGGTTTATCAGAGGCTGTTCTGGAAGAAGTTGGGGAGACCAAACTTGGTTTCGGCATCTGCGGTTCAAACAGTGGGGAGCCTTTGGTTTCCAGGGCTGTCGGGGAGCTGAGCAACCTCGCTGTCAGGCCAGCGTGACCGTGCACTGGGAGAGAAATTCTCACCATTTCTTATCTGTAGAAAAGATACTCACTGCACATCTTAGAATTTAGAAGGTAAGTAAAGCAATATCAAGATATAACGCTAGACCTAAGGAAATTTTCTTTATTGTAAGATTCCGAAGTCGGCGCCCCGTAGTTTATGTCCTGGGCGATGTGCTCTGTCTTGGAGACATGCACGCCCAGATGGGAGCCAGGTGTGAGCTCGCCGGCTGGCTGCCACCAAGGGCAGATTTGTAGCCAAGCAGAGGACCACTTAGTGGCAGATCTGCCACTCCGGCTGCATTCCCGCACTTTTTAATCCTGCACTGGCACTTTTTAGCGTGCAAGGTGCTGGGCCGTGAGGGGGTGAGGTCCGGGGGATCAGAGGCCTCACAGAGCTCCCTCGCCCCTCCCACCATGCGAGGGCACAGGGAGGACACAGCCATGGACCAGACGCTGGGCCCTCCCCGGACACTGTAGCTGCCAGAGCCTTGATCACAGCCATCGGAACTGTGAGAAATCGACTTCTCCTGTTGATAAGTCAGTCGGGGGTCTTCCGTGACAGCAGCCTAAATGGAGTTAGACACTCTGTGGATATAGGTCTTCTCACATATGCGCAAAAATACACAAATCTCTTACTAGTATAAATCTTTTCATACACGTTGGATCTCTGTTTATGCACCTGTATTTTCATATACACAGGTAATACATTCTCTCACATCATCAAGGTACATTTATCAAAATCGGGAGACTTGACATTATTACATCCTCATCTCTCATCCACGGTCCACATTTAAATATAATGCCCTTTTTTAAAGTTAAAAACACTTCGATCCGGTTAACATTTAGCATGAGTATCCGATGGAGTTTGGTTACCACATCTGTGACCAGCACATGTTGAGCAAATAAGGGTGACGTGGGGTAGAGCTGGTGGCCTGAGCGATGTGATGTGGGACGGGTCCAGCATGGCCTCTTCCTGGTGGGTCAACACGGTATGCGGGTGGCGAGGCCACTGGCGTCGTCCGCACCGGCTCCTTCCCCAGGAGGAACGAGGGACGCTCTCTCTTTGCCTGTTTCGACTCCAGAGAAACATCTGGAAGGTTTGGATACTTTCAAACAATACCTTTGTTCCTTTGAGGGACAAAGGGACACTTTTTTGGAGAGTGAGGAAAATGTAATTCTTTGTCCAGAGTGAAAAAAGAAGTCGCACAAACGAGCTAAACGTTTTTGTCGTTTGTAACGTGTCTGAGACCCTTTGTGGCTACTTTTTTTCCAGCCCAGTATCATCTTCAGGATCACACACTGCATTTTAGCTGTCAGGGTTGTAATGATATGGAAGAAAAGTGTTATTTTCAGTAAAGAAAGGTATAAGCTAGAGACGATGGCATAAACGTTGCTTTCACCTAAAGACTTGGAATCCACAAATGATTTCCATCCGTTGGCAGACAAAATTAAAAAAAAAAAATCAACCTAAGAAATCTTGCCTGGCTAACACTGGGGAGCAGAGGGGTGCAAGGTCTGCTCCCCAATATCGACTGAGTCTCATTTAGACGGCAGCACCTGGTTCTGCCACTGACCCTCAGTGTTAGATGCTATTTTTGTGTTAAAAGGCAGAGTTCTGGCATGGTCTGTGCGCATGAATTTAATCGCACGTTTTGCCCTAGCTATGAAGGAATGAAAACTTGCCAGCTAAGTTCAAGCTGCGGGCCACCAGGTTTCAAAGGGATTGGCCTGTCTTCCCATAACTGAATAATGATTCTCTGTCCAGAGCGACATCTGTCATCCCAACCTCCAAGCCCTTTGTGGGTGGCTTCATCCCTGAGGCTCTGTGGGTGCAGACATGTGTCAAGAGAGGTGACGATGAGTTTGGCCAGGACCAGATTTAGATGCGCTGCGTTCCCCGAGACTCGCTAAGGACCACAGGCAAAATGAAGGTACGTTTTTAGTCTGCCTTTTACCTAAACCAAACCAAACCAAACCAAACCAAACCAAACCAAACCAAACCAAACCAAACCTTAGTAATGTTTATAACTCTTTCTGCCTGACAGCAAAATGTCCAAGGCGTTTCATGGGTGACTGGAAGACATTAGGAGTTAACTAAACCTGGCAGAGGTCACGCCTGATTTTGCAACATGCCGTGTTGCAGGTAGTCTCCCCTCCCTAAACGTGCTTTGATCGTGATAATAGAAGCGAACATTTTGAACACTTGTCCTCATTGCAGGAGAGGAACATGATGCTCACAGTGTGCACGACGTTTGCCCAGGGCGCCCCGGCTGCTAAGGCGCAGAGCCAGGCTGTTCCAGAGATCACCACCTTAGAGGTCACCAGCTCAGAGAGCACCAGAGCAGGACCCGGTCACGGATGGCTGCCGGGCGCCGCGTGGACAGAACTCAGTCACAGCAGGCGCTCTCGGGCGGCCGGCGAGCGGCTCTGATCTTCCAGGCGCTGCGCTGCTTTGGTCCGTTGTTGATTAAAAGCTGACAGTTTCCCAGAAGACACTCCCTTGAGTGTATGTTTCTGTAAAAAGCACCCAGTTTCCTGTTGAGTCAGGACAGGGGGTTGGCGTCGGGTGATCTGAGTTTGCATGCTCGTTTTCTATCAGGAAACGAGTACATTGACACCTTTTCCTCTCGACTCTTTAAGGATCCATGAAGTGGCAGGTGCAAGGGCAGACATCGCGTTGCCCGGATCGTAACAGGTGCTGGGTCAACACGAGAGGGAACGAAAAGCCTTGTGTGAGCCGCAGAGTGCCACCGATGTCATGGGCTTCCCGGGAGCCACCTTTTTTTTTTTATCCCTAAACATTTATTATGAGCATTTTTAAACAAACAGAAAAGTTGAAAAACCTGTGAAGGTGAACACCCTGGATTCTATGGTTAACATTATGGCTGTTTTATCACGCGTCTGCCTGTCTGTTAACCCTCCACCCTTCAACTCATGCTGTCTGGTTTGGGACGCATTTCAAAGTTACCTGCAGACACCGTGGGTTTCACTATAAATACTTCACCACGGGCAGCATCACTTAGAGTTTGACATTTCTTTACAAGTTTTTTTTTTCTTTTTTGAGGTAAAATTTAGATACAGTAACATGCTGAAAAGTTAAGTGCATACCTGTTGAGTTTTGATGACTGTATAAACCTCCATCGGGGTACACAGATTGCCACCAGAACTCCAGAAAGTTCCCTAACGATACTTCCCAAGTAGAATCCACGCTCTGAGTCTTCTTCACCATAGATTTGCTTAGCTCATTCTAGAATGTTCTATGAATGCAATCTTAGTGTGTACTCCGCTGTTCTGGCTTCTTGCACTCAGTATGATGTTTCCGAGAGGCACCCCTGCTGTTCGGGACTCGGCGGTAGTCTGTTTCTTTGCATTACTGAGTGGCATCTCGTAAGAACACGGCGCGGTCCGTTTCCCCATCCCGGGCTGACAGACCCTCGGGTTGTTTCCCCTTTGGGGCTGTCATGGATGTGGCTGCCAAGAACAGTGAAGATCGCGTCCTACCGTTGACGCATGTTCTCAGTGACCTTGTGAAACGTCCAGCATGTGTTGGGTCTAGGGTAGGTGTGTGTTCAGTTTTATGAGCATCTTCCAGACCCTCTTCCGAAGCGGTGGCGCCACGTCACACTTCCGCCAACCGTGTCTGTGAGTTCCAAGTCCTCGTCAGCGTTTTGTGTAAGCTTTTCAAACATCAGCCACTTCCATAGCCTTCCAAAAACCCAGACTATCTTCTGGTTGGTCTCATCCATCTTGGAAAGCTTGTTAAAATTTACGCAAATCAATAGATCAGGAGCCTGTTCGCCAAAATTGTGTAAAATCTAACATGCTTCGTTCCTGTGGTCGAGACCCCCGCACCCCTAGCTGGCACTTCCCAGCCCCTAGGCAAAGGGGCAGGGACCAGGTGTTCACACCCTGGTGTGAGTGAGTGTCACTGGTGACTTGCCTTTGGGGAACACCCGCCCCGCCAGCCAGTGTTTGGGCAGAATTCTGTCGCATTTGTCACAGGAGGAAGCCGAGCTGCTCTGCTGTGGAGAGGAGGCTGGAGTCCACGAGACTCTCGAAGCCCGGCTCCCCCCGCAGGCCCCCGTGGCCTCCCCTGGCCGTTCTCGGAGGCTTCCTCCTGCCTCGAAGCTCCGGGGGTCAGGGGTTCTTATATAGATGGCCACTTCCCCCTGTCCCACAGCCCTCAGATAAACCTCTGTGCAGAGTGGCGGTGTCCTTTGGAAGGTCTGGAGGGGTGGGCCTCAAGGGCCACGGAGAGCGGATGTCCAGGCGGGAGCCCGCGGCCGGCGTGTGGAGGATGCACGCTCAGGAGGAGGACAGGCACCGTGTCCGCTCTGGCCCTGCCGGGCCCTGGCCCTTGCCCTCTCTGTGGCTCCGGCCCCCAAGGCTCCTGGATCCGATGACGTCGGAGACGGTCCGGGAACATCCCAACCCATTGGGCCCCCTCTGTTCCAGCAGGCCGGCCCCTTTCCCGGCCCTTTCCCCCTGAAACAAGGGTGGCCGAGGGGAGTGTCTTCGGCCGCTGAATGCTCTTAAGTGAGCCAAGTCGAGATGATTGCTCTGTCCCCAACGCGTCCCCCACCAACTCCGTGGACAAATTCGCTTCTCCCTTCAGGGACTCTGCCGTGGCTCAGTCCCAAGGGAGGCCTCAGAGGGTCCTCGGCCACGCAGGACTTCGCAATGCTCCCGCTCATGGGACTTTCCCTGGGCCTCAGGTCCTGGTGTTGAGGGGCTCGTTACCACAGCAGCCACGAGCAGCCATCCCTGAGCAGCCATGACCGCACGGCGTTCCCTGGCTGCTGTCTGCACCTCGCCAGTCCCTGCATACTCTATGTGTCCTCTTCTGTCTCCTTCTAAGGATTCAGGGCCCGCCCGGCCCGGGAAGATCTCATGCTCAAGCCTCCCCTTAATCACACCCGCAAAGGCCCCATCGCCAGACACGGTCACACTCAGATGCTGCGTGGACGCGGAGCATCCAGCCCTCGAGGACGGCCGTGCTCCGGCGTCCCTGTCCCGTCTCGGGGTGCCCGGGGCTGGCTCTTCTTTCCTCCAGACGCTGTCGAGACGCTTACACGAGGCAGCGGCCCCAGACGTCTCGTGCGTCATTTCTTCCTAACTCATTCAGCAGATCCCCGAAGTGCAGCTGGAAACACTGTATTGTCTTTTTCCTTCTGGGATGGAAAAATGTCACCAGCCTGGGAGATATTCAAGCGGTCTTTCCATGTGGCTTTCTCATCCGGCTCCCTTTTATTTATACAAGCCCCAAACCACTGGGTAAACACTCATTTATATGCCAGTGCGGGGATCCAAGTCCCCGGCTACTCTCCCCCCGCCCCCAGGAGTCTCAGGAACGTGCTGGAACACTGCTGGATTTTGCTCGTGCTCTTTGAGGCGTTCGCTGTCAATGCGTGTCTTAACACAAACCAGAGGACGAGTTACTCATCCCACGGAATTCCCAGTTTCAAGGCCCCGGTCACTGTGCCCCTCGGGGTGATGTGGCCGCCTCGCTTGCCAGTCCCGGCAAGGCAGAGGGTCCGCAGCAGAGTCTCTGCATTGCGTCGTGCTGCGGTCACGGCCACGGTCCTCCAGCGGGCCCCCTTGCCCGCCCTGCCCCAGGGCCTGCTCAGCAGCCTGGAGAATCAGAACATCAGGGCGGTGACAGGGAAAAGCCCGCTCCTCAGCCGTCCCCCGTCTTGTGGCGCGATGCCCAGTCTTTTCTTGGTCAGTGATTTGGAAAGTGGTCCGATTCAGAGCGGCTCCTCTAAGAATTTTAAACAGGCAACAATATTAAATGTAAACCGAGTTCTCAGGCCAAGTGCACTGCGGGGCTCAGTTTCTCATCTGGAGTGACTTCCTCTCACTCTCGGATTCTCTTGCCAGGATGTCAGTGACGAAAGCTGCAGATAAAGTGACTCTCCTCGTTTGTGACCTCCGTGGGAAAGGAGATGCCACCAGCCTGAGCCTTCAGCACCAGCATGCAGCATTCTCCTGATGTTTCGTGTTTGCTCTGGGAAGCGTGGCTGGGGTCCCGTGAGGCTGTCTGCTTACCTGAAGCTAAGGTGCACTGGGGCAGAGAGTGGGCAGGCCGGCTACTGAACCGCCCCTCCGCGGGCCTGTCCTGGCGGCCCCCCCATGTGCCTGCGAGCTGACTCAGCCTGCCTGGTCAGCAAGCGATTACTGAGCGTGTGCTGTGTGCCAGACATGGGCCAGGTGCCAAGAGAAGGTGGCCTTAGCCACGTCCCTCCCACTGTGCTGTCCACCAGGGGAGTGGAGCCCTTTGCTGGTGGATATAAAGGATCAAGTGGCCAAACAGACAGGGCAACGGGATGGGGCTGGGCAGGGCAGACAGGTGCAGGGGGAAAGTAGTATTTGAGCTGGTGCTGATGGGACCAGTGTTTGTTTCCTTGTTGGTCCAAACCTGACCAGTGGTCCTCTTGTCCTTCCTACGCACTAGCCCCTCGGGCCGGGCCCAGTGCGATGCTGCGCCTTGGCCTCTGACCTCAGGCTGCCTTGGACCCTGGACCCCACTCCCGTGTTCAGCTCCACCTCTGTGTGTTCTGGCTGGGTCCATGAGGGCGTAGCGTTTTTCTTCTAGGGCCAAGAGTTTCTGGGCCCAGGATCAACGCTGCCACCCCCGGCGGACCTCCCTAGAGCCGGCCGCCTGCCCCCTGCCCTTGCTCTTATCTGTGACATCGATGTGCTCATGACCCAGGCTGTCCTGGCTGCCACCCTCTCACCTGCTCCCTCCAACCCCGACTGGCCGCTGCAGGACTCCCCGGAAGGCCTGACCTGGTCCAGGCTGTGTCTCTTCCTGTACTACCGGTGGTGACAGCTCCCCCCCGCCCTGGCCAGCTCTCATCTGGGCCCAGGGTGGGTCCACCTCTAGGCCAGGCCCTCAGCGTCTGCCTGTCCGTCCCCAGACGACTAGTGGCAAGGAGTCCGTTTGGCCAGCGGGACCCATGCTCGGACAGTGACTGTAGTTGACATTGCGCAGCCCTTTCCAGCACGCAAGGTCTTCTCATGGTCACTCTTGTCCTTGATCTTCATAAGGAGGAAGCAAAGACAAAGACCTTGGTGAGACTCCAGCTGGACCCTGGGGCCCCCTGTGAGCCGGTGTGCTGTTCCGCGTTTGCAGACGGGGACAGAGACAAAGAGCCTTCCGAGGCTGCTCAGAGAGTGGGTGGTGGCGCTGGCTCCAAGCAGGATCCCGAGGCCCAGGGAAGGTGCTGCCTGCTCTTCCCGCCGGGTGGCCAGCGGGTCCCCCCTGCTCCGCACCCCGCCGCGGCTCGCCGAGTGCCCGTTCGCCCCCAGCTGAGGCCACCCCCTCCTGAAGGGCCCTCGTCCTGAAGCCAAAATCTCGGACACGGCGGCTGAGGGCGGAGGAGGCGCTCCGTGGGCTGGACGCTGCTGTGGCCAGTGGGTGCGTGTGGGTGGGACCGACCCTCCTCCGCGGGCTCACCCAACACCAGCTGCTCGTCACAGTGCTCCAGATAGGCGCGCCAGCCCTTAACAGCCCTCATTATCTGACCCAAATAGTTCCTGCTGCAACCGGAGTGGACTTCTGTGGGCCCGGCCCGAGCCACACGGGGGCCCCGTCACCCCCCGGGGTCAGCACCTCCGGCGCAGGCGCGGGAGGGGACTGGGCGTAGGTGCGGGGGGGAGTGT